CAAAACAAAACAAAACAAAACAAAACAAAACAAAACAAAACAAAACAAACAGAGAACTGATTTTTCCCAGGAATCAAATCCCAATTAACTCCTAAAGGAGTATTCCTGGCCCTGTGCTGCTGACTGCCAGGTCACTGGATCAACTTGGCTGCCTTCTCTAATTACTACAGGGTCATAAAGCCAGTAGAATAGTAATAAAACTACAAAGACAGAATGCGGACAACAGTACAGGTGATGCACATAAGAAGGGAATACTAGCCTAGCGCTAGGTAAGAAGAAAACAGGCTCAAAGTACTGTCAGTTTAAGCTACTGGAGGAGAATATGAGAACGTAACACGTCATATATTACCCCCTTCATTTTCATAGAACAAAATATTTTTATGCAGTTATGGCTAAATCCCTTAGTAGAAATACTAACAACTCTCTGAAAACTGAGCTCAGTAAGACACCAGCTGTGCCCATTTTGTAAGCACATCATCTGCTTGTGTGTGTGTGAGGAGGAGGAGTCCTCGTATCTGCAGAGTTCTTAATACAGCTTCTTTTCAGTAAATTACTCCTTTAGTTCCTCCATGACAATTGAAAGAAACTCCTTCACTATGGCCAACAGCCATGTTTTTTTGACATCAACAAAAGCACAGCCTTAGTCATTACTGAACTTTACTTTGTCCTAAGCCACTACTTGACTAAAATAATGCAGGAAAGGAAGTAAGAATGTAAGTAAACATGACAAATATGATTTCCTAATAGCAGTAATAACTGAGAGGCCCAGCCTTGCATTTAAAAACGGAGGACAAAAGCAACAATTCTGTCAGCTGGAAAATCAAACAGTCTCTCAGTCATCACTGTTACTAGAAACAAAAAGCACATTGGTGGCAAATCACTGCAACAGGCAGCACATTCTTACAGCTGGGAAATCTATCCATTTACTCAAACATAGTTCTTCATAATAGTTCAATAATCTTCATGGAACTACAAGCTCCCAGGACATCTCGGAATCACCATAACTTACTTCATGGAATTTCTGAAGGAAAAAAAAAATCAGTATCTCATTAGGGGAAAAAATTTTATAAAGTGTCTATCACCATGAATGACTCCAACTGTCCTATGTAGGAAGCTTCATCATATTCAATCTTTCTTGCTTTTTTGATGGTGCTGGGTACTGAATCTAGGGCGTCAAATATGCTGGGCAAATACCCAAGTAAGCTACAGTCTTAGATTCTAAGATGTATTATTGTATAGAATTTTCCTTCTTGCACTCCTTTTCTACTATGATTGGATCTAGGACTTTATAAGCTAGCCTGATAGTCTGTCACTCTAAAGAAAAGATGCTCTCAGCCAGAAGGAATGCCCAGTACTTCCTACCTAACCTAAGCTATCATTCAGAGTGATTTACTCAAACTGAAAGTCCTACTTTAATTAATCGTAAAGGCTAAACAGTGCTATTAACCCAATCTGTTGTGAATAAAATTTAGTAATGCTTTTCACTAAGAGACCAAAATGTAATACTTACATATCTCACTAAAAGGAGCCGGTTAAATTGTTCCCTTGGCTTTGCAATGAAACAAGCAAATCAATCTTTTCCATGTTCTGACTGCTATTCACAGAGGAGGCCAGTGGGGAAGTCTCTGGCATTTGCTGAGAAAGAAGTGTCACAGAAGATTGGCCCTCATTTTGTGGTTGGCCTGGCTGATTTATGGCCATCAGCTGATCTGGCAATGTAGCTGGTCCAGATGTTAAAAGCTGACTACAATCTGAAAAGACAGCAAAATCAGAAACATCTGATTAGTTAAGATTTCTGAAAAAAATACTTTTTAGTTGCCAGGGAAAATTTATTACTATGCTGATCTACATTACTAAAACTAAAGTACTTGACAGTCTAACAAAATGGTTTTCACAGGACAACACTGGAATCTATCTTGGTATTCCTCTAAACATATATAAAAGTACTACTGAAATTGGGTATGATGGAGCACACCTTTAGTCTCAGTATTTGGAAAGTAGCAAGTAAACCTTGTGAGTTCAAGGCCAGTTGGTCTACACAGTGAGTTCCAGAACAACCATGACTAAATAGTGAGGCCTTACCTCTAAATGCATATATATATATAAATAAAAGTATTACTTAATTACTTGACATAACAGATGAAAAATGGGTGCCTGGCTCTTTAGAAACAACTTAATTGGCTAAGATATTTTCTGTAGATCTTACTTTATTTTCCTTTCAAATTAATGTCATAAAACAGCACACACATTTTTACACTTCATTTCATTTAACCGTCTCAACATCTTCGTGAGGTATAAAAACCATCACTTTTTTTTGTTTCTGTTTCTGAGATAAGGTCTCATATACTCTCGGCTAGCCTCAAACACACTATGGAGCTACAAATGAGTCTGAATTCCTGATCCTCCTGCCTACACCTCTAAAGGGCCAGGACTACAGACATGTACCATTATGACCAGTGTAAAATGATTACTTTCGAAAATATGGAAATTCATGTCTATTAAGGCCAAGTAACTTGTCCAAGGCCTCAGTCTGTAGCTGGTGGAATTGCACTCTGCTTTCAAACTACTGTGCCTTGGGTTTCCTTATAATAATCTGAACATTTCAACTGAGTACTGAGAAATTTGGGTTCCTTACTATTTTGAATGCCAAATAAGAACATTCCTGAAGTCTGCTGGGATGAGCCAGGAGAATTTTGTAGTTGGTTTATTGTGCCTCCTGTAGTGTTGTGAAATAGAGTAGCCTGTGGCTGGGGTGAAGAAGTGCTTCCTTGGATTCCAGGGATGTTGCTCTGCGGGGAATAAAGAGGAGACTGCTGCATATCTGGTTGGCTTATACTGGTTTGCAATGCAGACATGGATGCTGGAGAGAGGAAGAGGGTTACTTGCTGCTCTTGAGAACTAGGTGACCCTTGAACCAACTGGATCTGAGGAGAGCTATGAAACAAGGAGGTCTGTGGTGACTCAGACTGCGTAGGACCTGGGTTCTGAAGTGAGGAAACAGTAGGCTGATTCTGAAATTGCATGGGTTGCTGCTCTTGGTCCATTGGGGCCATATTACTTTGCTGGTGAAAAATTGACTGGTTCTGTTGCTCCTGACTAGCCATCGGGGTCTGGTTTGGGCTAAATATCATGTTTGGTGGTGGCTGCTTCTGGGAGGCCATTGTAGCCATGGCATTCTGATTACTGAATAAAATGCTCTGTTGTTGCTGCTGCTGTTGCTGTTGCTGCTGCTGTTGTTGCTGCTGTTGCTGCTCCTGGGATGGAGAGTTACTCTGCATGCCAACTATTGGGCGCTGTGTTTGGAAAATTGGGCCTTGTTGGTTTTGCGGCATTGGATTAGGAGGAAGGGAGCCAAGGGCCACCTGAGGCTGAAATAAACCTTGCTGAGAGGGTTGTGCCTGTTCCTGGGAAAGAATAGGGGTCTGGATGTGCGAGATTGGAGGCTGCTGTTGAAAAGCAGCTTGCTGCTCAGTGTTTGATGTTGACTGAAGTGGAGAGATTGAGTTCTGTGCTGCAAAAAATGAAATCTGCTCTTCTTGGGCTACTGTGTTAGTCTGAAGATTATTGATAGAACTTTGGGAAAGAAATATGTTGGGTGATTGCTGGTCTTGAGGAACTGAAGAGCCCTGTAATACAGTGATGGTATTCTGAGAGTGAAACATTGAAGGCTGCAGTTGTTCAGAGGATGCTGTGGACGGCTGACTGTGGACAATAGGATTTGGACTATGAAAAATTGAGCCTTGAGTTTCCTGGGAAAGGTTCTGAGCATCAGCAATAGGATTTTGAGGATGAAAGAGCTGAGCCTGTGAATGAGAAGACTGCTGCAAAAAGTTCCCAGACTGAAGCGACATCATCTCGCTCCCTTGCTGGAACAAGCTAGTCCCTTGCTGCTGGGTACCATTATTCTGAACACTCATTATATTTTTTGTAGATGAAAAGAGGTTTACTTGAGGTTGGCTGTCCCCACTGTGCTGCATTTGGACCATTGTTTGGAAGACACTGCTCTGAATCTGTTTTGCTTGCGCTCCAGTTTCTTCTCCATCTCCAGAACTTGGTGTCTGAAACATAGTAGAGCCAGAGGTTGCAACCTGCGGTGTGGTGGTTGTGGAAGTTTCATTTCCAGAAACTGCAGGGGGAGAAGAGAACAACTCACACTGCATTTGCATGTCCTCATTGGTAGGCAGTGCACTCATCATGTGAGAAGACTGCTGGTAAACTGGAGACTGCTGAAGGCTTCCATTTGCTGAAGCAGCTGAAGGAAATAATTCTGACTGAATCTGGGCTGCTGCTTGGCAAATGCTCTGCTGCATCTCCATCACCATTGCAGCGGATGACTCCATCACTTGCTGCTGCTGCTGCTGCTGCTGCTGCTGATTAGACAGTGTATTTTCAGTCTGTTGATGGACACTGTCAGCCCTCCCAGGTAGTAAGTTATCTGGTCTGGTGTGAACTGTAGACTCTGTCGAGGAAAACATTCCAGGGCTTACACTACTTTGAATTTGACTGACTTGGAAAATGTCTGCATTAAGCTGTTCTTGAACATTCTCATTACCATCTGGAGTAGAAAACAGAACAGATGATAACTGTTGTTGTGCCTCTAAAACCTGCTGGACCAAGTCAACACTTCCACTGGTACCACCAGCACTGCTGCCTGTGAAACTTCCCGCTTGCAGCTGCTGAATCGTGCTCTGGAGCTGGCTCACACTATTTGGCGATGGAAAAATATTTGATGGTATCTGCTGCTGTAACGTCTGTGCTTGTTCTTGTAGTGGGGACTGCTGCTGCTGTGATGCCTCAGTCAACTGTGACAAGTTAACCACTGTGTCTGACTGTATTGTGTCTCTGGACTGAGCTTCTCTTGTCTGAAACGGTGCTGCCTGCTGCAGAAGTGCATCACTGCTGGGCAGCTGACTAGAAGCAGAAACTGCTGGGAAAGTCCCAGGCTGTGAGATGTCTTGTGTTTGGATAGTTGTCAGGGTCTCTGGGTTGTATGCCTTGGGCTGAAGCTGCTGCTGATTTTCATTTTCAGGAGGTAAGTGGGAGGATGACGGTGACGAAAAGGATGCATTTCCCGCTATGTTAGAAATAGTTTCTAAAGTTTGCTGGGTTGATCCAATTGTCTTTGTAGTCTAAAAAATAAAAAGCCACAAACAATATGTATATATAAATATTAAATAATCACATTATATTACTCCAAAAATTCTAAGGATACACACAGAGTAAGTTTTCTACTCCACAGTATTAACAGAAGTCAGTGTAAGACTGATTCTTTATGACAATGTCTGACTTTCAGTATTGTAAATATAATCAAACAAGCAGAACAATCAGTTATTGATATGTTTAGCCAAATTAAGAATAATAAGAGAACATTAATCTGATAGTTTGTGTGTAACAAAGCTCAAGACACTTCCATATTGTGGGTCATCAGTAACACTGCAATAGGGAAAACAAGTGAAGAGAATTAAAAAGAAAGTAGAGAAGGAACCATAATCAAAATGTTTCTACTTCTGAAAATGCCAAAATTGGTGCTTTAATTAAAGCAATTAATTTTGGGGGCAGGGTCTTTCTCTGTAGCCCAGGTTGGCCTTAATCTCATATCTTTGATTCCTTAGTCCCCAAACCAACTTGTAGTACTTTTATAAATACATTTCATAGGAATGAATTCCTCCTCTTATCAAAATGTGTCCTGAAGTTACTTTGCAAGCAATTTTACTAATCTATAAAGCATTTACTCTGAAAAGCAAAATTCATTAACCATATCTGATGGAAAACAGATGCCAACGGAACAAGAAAGGGGAATATAGCAATTTTTCGTATGTGAGATAGATATGGGGCATTTGTTACATAACTCACCTGAAAAATTGGGGAAGATCTTTTCTCTGATGTTACTTCCATTGGAGTAACATCTTCAGTCTTAATCATACTGCTTGATATGAGTGGAGTGATCAGGGCATTAGGAAGAATAGTTACCTTATCTACGTTACATCCAGTTGTTTTCATTGCTACACACATAAAAAAGAAAAGTTGTAAACCATAAGAAACAATCTGTTTACTATAGGCCATGGTTTAAATTTAGTTTGTTTGTTTGTTTGTTTGAAGTAGTCTCTATACAGCCTAGGCTGGCCTCAAACTTGTCATCTTCCTACCTCAGCCCCCTAAGAGCACAAAGTATATGTGTACTACACCACCATACCTGGGTTAACTGTCTATTTTGAATAGATGATATCATGATTATAATGCATGATACATTTACTCCTACCCTATTTTTGAGAAACTCTCATGTAGTCTAGGCTGGCCTCAAACTAGATATGTATGTAACCTAGGATGACCTCAAATTTTCAATCCTCCCGTCTTCGCTTGGAATTACATGTTTGGGCCACTATGCCTGCTTTATGCAGAGACAATGAATAAGCCCCTAGGCTTAATGCATCCTAGGCAGGCATTCTGCCCACTCTGTTACATCCCTACTCCTTCCTAACCTCCTTTTACACAAGTGTGACTGGCCTGAAGATTCTTGGTATGGACTGAGAAGGCATGCTTATTTATGTGGTACCATGCTAGGGAATGAAACCTAGGGTCACCTGCAATCTATAGGAGAGCTCCACCACTCAAGAAATACCTACATCTTATAGGTCCTGTTATAAACCAAACTGGTTCAGCTATCAGCTGTATCCCATAAGCCATATCTAAATGTCTGGAGTTACACACCATGCAATAGGGGTCATGCCTTAAGAGTATTTAGCATACAGATTGGTAATCTCCAGGAAGTTAAAAACTCAGGTATAATCTAGCATTCCAACTTTCTGAAGACTGAGATTACTGAAGTATTTCTCAGCAAGAATTCAAGAATACATAAAGTAATTTACAAATTTTGTTCTCTGAATCAGTGTTTTAGAAACTTGAACAATTCAAGGTGGTGCATTAAATGCCATTTCTAAACCATTTTCTACCTCTACCACCTCCACTTTCAACAGTTATCAATTTACAGCTGGGAGAGCCAATCACTACCTTTCCATTTAGCACTCATCCCCACTTTTGATTCTTTTTCTTTCTTCTTTTTACCTTTTCCTTGAGTCTGCCATTGATACTTCATGGAGCCTATTGTTCCTGCTAGTGGCAGTCTCTGAATTGATCATGCAGCTAAAGCCTGAGGTAGAAGTTTGAGGCTCAAATTCTTATTACTTTGAGACTACGGAAAGAACCAGTCTCTTAAAATGGGGTTTCAAAGCCACATTGGATTTTGTGTTAGGAGACCGAGTTCCAGTTTAACGTGCTAATCTTGTTTTATGTGCACAGGTTCTGCCTTACCTAAGTACATTGTAGTTTCAGTGACAACTCAGTTCTATTTCGGGTTACCCGGTCTGGCTATTCCTAACTCTACCTGATCTGTGTTTGATGCTGCCTACCTAGTGGAAGGCACTTCCCTGGGCTATTGGTGTCTTTGGAGAAGTGAGGAAAGCATTTCTTTTGTAAGTTTCTTTGGTATCAGGGTGACAGCAGGCTTTCTAATCTATCACTGCCAATGTTAGTAGGGTAGAGAATCATCTACATGGGCTGCCTCTGCCACCTCTGGGCATGTGTGACAAACCGGGGTACTCATATCTAGTTGGCTTTCTGACACTGGCTGACATTTTTGGTTTTTTTTCTTTTAGAAGGGGTCTCTACATAGCCCTGGCTGTCTTACTATGTAGACCAAGCAACTCACAAAGATCCACCTGCCTCTGCCTCGCAAGTACTGGCATTAAAAGTGTGGGCTTCCACACCCAGCTCTAGTTAGCTTAGACTGGCTTTTGTCAGTAAGTAGAGAGCTGTAAGATTCCCAGCTCAGATGTTCTACTTAGGTGGAGTTCTAGGAGCTGGTGGGCTGGGTAAGAGTAAGGAAATACTAAGCTTGCATGCAGCATCAGTACAGAGAAGGCTGACTTGCTGGTGTGTGGTATGGCACAAGGATGACGCATTGAGATCTACTGCTGCCATTTCTGGAGGCAGACTGACTCATGAATTATAGAACTCTGCCATTATATAATCTGTATCTTCATAAATAAAGGCAAAAAGGCATCATCAGCACATACTATAATTGTGGACCACAATCTGCCTTACCACATTGTAACAAACTTAAGCCTGTTTATAACTATTGCTTCTTTTGTACTCGGGTTGAGACAGTTTTAGTATAAAGGCTAGATGGGTCTTGAACTCATGAAATTCCTGTCTCAGATACCAGAGCATTGACACTGTAGGCATGTACTATCACTCCTGGTCTTTGCTGTTTTGTTGTTTTGTTTTATTAAATTGGTAGGGAAGTAAATAAGCATGTCAGATTTAGGAATGGTTAGGTCCCAAAGTAACTCTTCAAATACCTACAGTTCGTATTTCAGTCTCTTCAGTCTCAGTAGCAAGTACAAACCTTTAAAGAAGGAAGCATCACAATCTGTGCTTTACTTCTTTGGTATGACCTATTCTCATTACTTTTATGGGATTTGGGCTTTATTTTGTTTTTGTTGTTTTTGGTTTTGGTTTTTCTAGACAGGGTTTCTCTGTGTAGTCCTGGCTGTCCTGGAACTCACTCTGTAGACCAGGCTGGCCTCGAACTCAGAAATCCACGTGCCTCTGCCTCCCAAGTGCTGGGATTAAAGGCATGCGCCACCACCGCCCGGCTATTTTGTTTTTTTGTTTTTTCTATTTATGTATTTATCTTGTGTGTATGGGTGGGTACCAAAATGCCATGGTATGTGTGAAGGTCAACAACTTGTAGGAGCTGGTTCCCTTCTTCCATAATACCCATATGTGTTTTGGGGATTAAACCAGGTCATCAGGACTGGTGGCAAGTACCTTATCCACTGAGCCATCTTGAAGGTCCATAAGGGTTAAACTGAAGAAACTGAAAAAAATCAAACTCCTCTATACTCAAACATATTAGTTGTTATCTTGAGTTATAGCCCTTGGTGATCTTGAACTCATGATCCCTTGCCTCCCAAATGCTAGGATTACAAGTATGCACCATCATGTCTGGTCTATTATGGGTTTTTTGTTTAGTTTTTTTTCTTTTTTCTTTTTTTAAACTATACCTATATGCTAAATAAAGGAAAATATCAAGTTGCAAAATAAGTCTGCATCAGTAAAGTTAAACAAATATTTATTTTATAATTTGGAAAACACCTTGCTAAGTAACACATTAGATCAGAGAAAACAAAGCACTAAGGTTTTGCTAGTAGATACATAGAAGGGCAAAATTATTTTTTGAGAATAATGAACTTGGTACCTTTCATGGCTTCTTCAAAAGAGCAAGGTCTTGCTGGACTAGATATCTCCTTTTTCACATTTACATTCAAAGCACCAGCTGCTGATATTAAAAATAAAAGTCATATATTTTGTTCAATTTATTCATCTTGGTAAAATACATATTCTAATACTCTTTAATTGGAGTAATTTCTCAGCATGTCATTGACTTGTTTACCAGAACCCTAGGTTAATTTTCTATAACCAGTAGATTACTTTCTGAAATATACTCACCTCCAAGTAGATAAAATATATAATCACTTACCAAAACAGAAAACTTTAAGAAACCTTTTAACACATGAATGGAAGACTGACACCAAATATCAGACATTTAACACTTAACAGCTACATTAGAGCACTAGTAAGAAAGAAGGTTATCATTTACCTATAAAAGTTTATTAAAAAGTACCAACTGGAAAACATTTGTCAATATTTAAAGTAAATTAAAACACATGATGAACTTACTAGGTCTCATATTATGCCTATTTTTTCAGTAAAACTTTGAAAAAGAATCTTTGCTAGCACTAACAGTGAACTGCTAGGCTACTGTACCTAGTCATGTTGCTTACATCTTGTCTCTGACTTACGGAGCTGAAGAACAGAGGTCATCTTTCAGTAATAATGCTAAACTGCAAATGAGCAGGTTCTGCTTCAAACGGTCATTTTTATTATTGTCGTTTTTAAAATTTCATGGATTCCCCTCCACCTTGTTTTTTTTTTTTGAGATAAGGTTTCCTAAACCTGGTAGTTCTCAACTCATGGGCAGGGACCTTCAAAGGGTCATATGTGAGATATTCTGTATATCAGATGTTTACATTATGATTCACAATAGTAGCAAAAATTACAGTTAAGAAGTAGCAACAAAATAATTTTATAGTTGGGGGTCACCACAACCTGAGGAATGTGTTAAAGGGTCCCAGCATTAGGAAAGTTGAGAACCACTGTGACCTAGCCTGACTAGAAGGTCATAGATTTAGTCAGCCTGGTTGGCTAGTAAGCTTCAGTCTCCATCTCCCCAGTGCTGTGATTACTACTGTACTTGTGTGAACCACAATGTGGGTGTTGGGAATTGAACCTGGGTTCTCTGCAAGAGCAACAAGTGCTCTTAACCTCTGTGCTGGCTAGTCTTATGTCAACTTGACACACAAACTAGAGTTATCTGAAACGAAGAAACCTCAATTGAGAAGATGCTTTCATAAGAGCCAGATGTAAGGCATTTTCTTAATTAGTGATTGGTGGGAGAGGGCCCAGACCATTATGAGTAGTTCCATCCCTGGGCTGGTGGTCCTGGGTTCTATAAGAAAGCAGGCTGAGCAAGCCAGGGGAAGCAAGCCAGTAAGTAGCACTCTTCCATGGGCTCTGCATCAGCTCCTGCTTCCAGGTTCCTGCCCTGTTTGAGTTTCTGTCCTGACTTCCTTTGCTAATCAATATGGAAGCAATATGGAAGTGTAAGCCAAATAAACCCTTTCCTCTCCAACTTGCATTTTGGTCATAAAATCACATTTACTTATTGTGTGTATGCATACACATGTACAACAGAACATATGTGGGGGTCAAATTGATTCTCCTCTACCACATGGATCTCGGGAACTGAACTCAGGCTCCTAGGTCTTTACCATACTGAGCAATCTTGCTGAACCTAGCCTGCTACTTTTATCTAAAACACATTCTAATTTTTATTTGTCAAGGCTGATTTGTTTTGTTATAAAGTAAAGTATTCCTATGTGGCCCAGGATGTCCTCAAACTGGCAATCTTAATGCATCAGGCTCCTGACTACTGAGGTGACAAACCGGAATCACTCAGTCTGGCTTTCAGTGTTTTAAGCATTAAAAAAAAAAAAAATTATTAATGTGGGGATGAGCATGCCATGGTCCTCAACTTATTTATTTTGCATTCATAAACATATCCAAAACGAGATTTGAGTTGGTTTACTTTTAATGCATTATTTCTCATAACAATAGCAAAACAGTTACTTCTAATTGAATAAAAAGACAAAATTCAGGGCTGGAGAGATGACTTCCTGCTCTCACAGGGGACTCACTCCCAACCTATTGTCTCTAACTCTAGTTTCAGGGGACTCAATACCCAGGCCAAGAAACTCTAATGATCTACTTGTCTCTGCTTCCCCAGAACTGGGGTCACAAGAGTGTCGAGCTTTTTATGTAGATTCTGGGAATCAACTCAAGTCCTTATCCTTGCAAGTCAAGGACTTTCCAGCCTGAGCTATCTCCTCACTCTGCTCGCTCTCTCTTTTCTTTCTTTCTTTCTCTCTCTCTCTTTCTTTCTTTTTTTTTTGGTGCAATAGTATTTGGTAGTATTTGTCTTTTTATAAAATATTACTCATCTCAACATTAGTAGGAATTCATGTTTTGGCTGTCTAGACTTCAAACTTTCTCAAAGGAATAGAATTCAATTATTCATTTGGTTCAGAACTGTTCATTTGACATACCTGGATCTGGAGTGTAAGTAAATGGCTGAACATCATGAGATCTTCCAGCATTAGTCACAACATATATTCCCACTGATACAGGCAAAGTTATATGTTGGTCATGATATGGAGGAACCTTCACAATAAGATGGTTCTAATTAAGGAAAAGTATAAGAATCAGAAAGGAAGTCAATGTTTAAGCAAAAAAACAAAAAAAAAAAACAAAAAAAAAACCCAAAACAACAACAACAACAACAACAAAAAACCCACTTAAGTAACTTTCCTGTTATCTGCACAATTTAGAAGTTTGATTAGAAAAAAACTATACTAGATTTTGGAGTCAGGTCTTGCTATGGAGCTCAGACCTGCCTCAATCTCCAGCTTCATTCCTGCAACCACATGCTGAGATTAGGTCACTACAACAAACACAAAAGGATGCTTTAAAGCTCAGGTTGATAAGCACATGCCATTCATCTTGGTATTTCGTCCACAGTAAAGCCCTAATGTTTCCAACAGTCTACAAGGTCCCTGCTTAGCCAACTTCATCTCATTCCCACTCTCCCCAGGGTCCTTTTAACTACTAACCCCAGCTTTACATGAGACTTGTTCTCTGCAACTATAGTATTTTCATGTTCTCAGCTGGCAAGTTCCTTACCCATACCCAGGTCTCATACACAAATGCCACCTTCTCAGAGGCCTTCCCTTCCGTTCCTTGTGCATTCTTTAAAACAGCATTCTCTTCAGCCAGCCACATTCATTTTCACAACAGTACTTTTAACCACTTGAAATTACTGACTGCCTTTCGTCTTTCTTGAACAACAAAATAGAAGCTACTCAAAGTCCTAGGGTGTTCTGTACTCAGATGTCACTTGTGAACTCGTACTACCCTGGACTGAAAGTCCTACTCCTGCTTCAACCACCACATTCTGGGTTTCACAGGTGTGTGCGCCACCATGCTCAACTCCAAAGTCTTATTTATTTCAACACCTTTTCCTCTCTCTAATTCATTTCTGTGTTTCATTTACTACAAGTTCTAGGTCAGTTCTCCAGGATACCAGTTCTAATTCTATCCTAAGAAAATATTTCCCTGAAAGGCACTTAACTCATTCCTCTTTGATTTAAAAATGAACAAAACCACAGAACCAATGACCTATCACACTATGATTTAGTTTGCTTATAAACTCATTTGCAAACAAAAAAATCCAAGTCTGCGCTGAGATGGCTCACTACGTAAAAATGCTTGCTGAAAAGCACAATGACTTACTTTGATCCCAGAATCTATACATAGGTGGAAGGAGAATTGACTCCATAGAGTTGTCCTCTGACTACCACTGCACACACACCCATCACACCCACCTACACTCTTTACAATAAACAGACAAAATCCAACCCTCTAAGGACCTCTAGCATTGCACTTGTCACACAAACCTGATGACTTGAATTTGATACCTGGATCACATGGTGAAGAACAGAGCCAAGCCCATAAATCTCTTGACTTACACACTACATATCATGTGTGCCTATACATACACATGATATATAAAATACTAATAGTAAATTTAAAATTTTACTATTTATCATTGTCTTATTTTAAATATATATGTATATCACATAAGCATATCATTATAAATTTAATTGTTTAATTATTATTTAATTATTGGACTAAAGATGGACATAACTCAATTGGCAGGGTGCTTGCTTAGCATGCATGAAGCCCTGGGTTTAATCCTCAGTACTGTAGAATCATGTTTGTGATCCCAGCACTTGGGAAGCAGAGGAAGAAACTCACGGTCATGCTCGGCTATATAGTGAGTTCACAACTAGACTAGACTACATGAGACCTGACATCAAAGATGCAAGGGGGTAGGTAACACCCTATTCCTTAGAAGAAAGAATAGACAAATGGATACAAGGGAAGGAGGGAGAAAGGAAACAAGTGGGAGAGAGAGATAAGAAAGGGCAATAAAGGGGAGAGAGTACTAAAATAAAGGGAGATTAATCTAACCAATGTGTCAGAATCCAAAACATGTACAAAGGGAGACCCATCTAAACAGAAACAACAGCAAACTAAAGCACGTTCACAGCACACAACAGTCTCCTATGGAGTAACAAGGCTTCACTTGGTAGTGAAGGTACTGAAGAAGTCAATTAGAACTAGGGGTTGTTGAAGTGCTCCCTGAAAGAACAGACTTGAGAGCAGAGCTTCCTTCTCCCTCAGGGAGAATGGAATAAGCTGCCACTCTGTGTTGTGCCATGTTGTGACCCCAACACTTCACAAGCCTAGTGTTGGGGTCTGACTGACAACAGTGCTCTAGAGGCCATGCCTGCTGGTCATGCAGAGTGGGGTTACCTGATTATTTGAAGGAAAAAATAAATGTCAGAACTGGAAGGAACCTCAAATAATTGAGCTAAGTTATCTGAACAAAAATGAACTGCTGAGTAAAAACCAAAAGTATTAAAAAGTTTAAATTATACCTGATGGAACAATTCCATGTCAATTTCAGCTTCTGATTTCCAAGAGTTTTCGTCTGATGGAAATAAAAACAGTGACTTATAAAGTTTTTTAACCTTTCCATTTTGTAGTTATAATTGTATTTTTATAACAAATGGAACACTGTCTATCACTTATATGTCTACTTACCAGAAACGTTTTCCTGGAAAATAACTTTTGTTCCTTTCAGAAAGTTCTTCCCAATTAAGAACACTTCTTCCTCTCCTTTCACTGAACAGCTATGCAAGCTTTTCTTTAAGATCTCAGGAACTCCTGCTGGCTGAGCTGTGGATATACATATGTAAGTTTTCCAAAGAAGAGCCACCAACTCTTAATTCTCATCTGAAAACAACTTGTAATCATGAATCTACTTTTATGAGTTGTTTTTGTAGATCATTAATTTTTGTTTTCTTTTTTTATTATTATTACATTTTATTTATTTTAGACCACCTGTCTCTCTGTGTATGTGTGCATGTACACAAACCACAGTAGGTGTGTGGTCAGAGAACCTATGAGAATCAGTTCTTAACTTCCATTATGTGGATCCAGAGTATAAAACTCAAGTTGTCAGGTTTAATTCCCAGCACCCACACAGCAGTTCACAAACACTGGAACTTCTGTTCCAGGGAATCTGATGCCTTCTTCTGGCCTCTGGCTGCCAGGCATGGTGTGCATGGTGTGGTGTGTGTTCTCTCTCTCGCTCTCTTTCTTCTTCTTCTTCTCCTTCTCCTCCTCCTTCTCCTTCTCCTCCTCCTCCTCCTCCTCCTCCTCCTCCTTCTTCTTCCTCTTCTTCTCCTTCTTCCCCTTTTCCCTTCTCCCTTTTCTCCCTTCTCCCTTCTCTCTTCTTCTTCTTCTCTCCCTTCCTCTCTCCCTCCCTCTACCCCCCCCCAGGCAAAACACCCAAGCATACTAAATTAGATAAAAATCTATTTTAAAAAATTAGTGTGTTAGGCCTGGCTTGGTTTGATGGCTCTGATGATCCGATTAGAGTTCCAGAATTCACATGGTGAAAGGGAAGAATCCATTCATCCCTACAAACGATCTTCTAACCTCAGATGTACACAGTGGCATACATACAACCAAATACATACACACATGTACACATAAATACAGACACAAACACACACATAAAATTTGGGTGTTTGCTAAGGTAAAGAATGACTGTGATAATTTGACAAAATTAATACAAATAAAAAAGAAAAGGTCTTAAATGACCAAGTAAGACTAGCAAGGTCATAGTATCTATAATAGGATAACAGGAAATTCAACTGAATGGAACAATATCTTTTTTCTGTTTTGAAATCAAATATAAGGTATATAAAAAAAACTACAAAAGTAAAAGGCACATAACACTATCATTGAATTTAAAGGCACACTTTCACTTGTTTTCTTTCTATACTCAAGTTAAAGAGGTAGGAGTTTGGTTTCTCATTCACAAGCACTGCGCTGTATAACCACAACTTGTAACAAGAAATATGACATGCCTTTCTTTACAGAGTTTCTCCTCATTTTATTTCAGTATTCCAACAGCTCATGGGAGAGATACTTGGAAACTCTAGAGTTTGGCAACTGACTTCTGGCATCCTATTTAAATGACTTATTTGAGGGAGATCCTGCTCAGAAACCAATCCAGGCCACTTTAAGTGTCACAATCTCCAGGTCAAATTACATAAAATATTTTAAAAATGACATTAAAGTTTATTTATTCAGTATATGTGCATCACGCCTGCGGGAGTCAGTCCTCTCTGCCATGTGGGTTCCAAGGATCCAACTGAGATCATCAGGTTTGGCAAAAAGTGCTTTTACTTGTTGAGCCATCTGTCAAGCCCTCAAATTGCTTAAATTTTTTTAAAATTTAATTTCATATGCTTTGCCTGAATGTGTATCTGTGCACCACACATATGCAGTGCCCATGGAGATGGAACAGGGCATCAGATTCCCTAGGACTGAAATTACAGATACTTGTAAGCTGCCCTGTGGGTGCAAGGAATCAAATTTAGGTCTTCTAGAAGATCAACCAGTGCTCTTAACCTGTAAGCCATCTCTCTAGCCCTTAATTACTTTTAAAATTAGTATATGATAATAAGAGAAAACTATAAATAGCGAAGTATCTTTCCAATGTTTTTTGGTATCTTTATCTTCTGAGATGGATTTCCAGTAGTCCAGGCTGTCCTTAACCTCACTACATAGCTAAGGATGACTGACTTGCACTCCTGATCCTTCTGCCCCTACCTCACACAACTATTTTTTTCCTCACTTTTTCTGAGACAGATCTTGTCTTTCAGTGTAGGCTGGCCTATATTCACGCAGTCTTCTTGTTTTTACTCCTAGCCATTAGGATTATAGTTTGTGCCACCATACCCAGCTCACTACAACTTTGCTTTGGTCAAAGAGATAAGATTTGCTGTGTTCTCCTGCCTAGACTTTAACTCCTGGGGTCACATTATCTTCATGCCTTGGCTTTCCAAGTGGGTAGGAGCATAAGTGCTTGCCACTTGTGTTCTCTTGGCTACAGCTTTTAAAATGTTTCAAGTTCAACACAACCGTATAAGCTGAAGTATAAAATATTAAAATTTATGGATATCTGAAAAAGTGACATGATAAACTTAAGAACTCTTCATATATGTAGCATCTTCATATTTTCTTACTTACTGCATAAAATGGGGGAAGAGGGTGTCTGCAATGTCAGAGTAGAGCCATCCTTCCTTGTGATATTAACTCGAAAAACCAATCTGGCACGAGTGCTCTTTTTCTTAGAACCAGCAATTCCAATTCTGGCTTCAACATCGGCATTTCTCAGCTTCAATATTCCTACACAGTCCACCCTAAAACAGAAAATATACTGTTGTTGTATAGTGTTTTCCGCCCCTGAAACATGGTTTCTTTGTGTGGCCCCGTCCTAGCTTCTTCTGTACACCAGGCTGGCTTCAAACACAGGGAGATCCACCTGTCTGTGCTTCCTGAGTGCTTGGATTAAAGGTCATCAACTGGAAATAGTCAACATTTTTTTTTCTTTTGCATTTTTTTTAAAGATTTATTTATCTATTTCATGTACACTATCACTGTCTTCAGACACACCAGAAGAGGGCATCAAATCTCTGTAACAGATGACTGTGAGCTACCATGTGGTTGCTAGTAACTGAACTCAGGACCTCTGGAAGAGCAGTCAGTCACTCTTTATTTTGTTTTGTTTTGTTTTTGTTTTTTCGAGACAGGGTTTCTCTGTGTAGCTCTAGCTGTCCTGGAACTCACTCTGTAGACCAGGCTGTCCTCGAACTCAGAAATCCGCCTGCCTCTGCCTCCCAAGCGCTGGGATTAAAGGCGTGCGCTACCACCGCCCGGCTGCAGTCAGTCACTCTTAACCACTGAGCCCCAAGTTTTCTTTTTAAAAAGGCCAATACTTGGCCAGACAGTGGTGGTGCACACCTTTAATCCCAGCACCCAGGAGGCAGAGGCAGGTGGATCTCTGTTTTAAGCTATAGAGTGAGTTCCAGATACTCAGGGCTGTTAAATATAGAAATCCTGTCAAAAGAAAGAAAGAAAGAAAGAAAGAAAGAAAGAAAGAAAGAAAGAAAGAAAGAAAGAAAGGAAGGAAGGGGGGGGAGGGAGGGAGGAAGAGAGAAAGAGACAGACAAGACAGACACAAATTCTTATTAACTCTTTGAATACTTAATAGTCATAAGGTCCCAAATTCACAAAATACCAAAGGTTAAATTTACATATTCAAACCCCCTAATCTTGTTAATTTTCTGTTTAGAATGGAAAAGTCAGTAAACAAAATTATTTTTAAAATATGAACATAAGTAATGGTCTATGATATGAATATAAGAATAAGACTTATTCTGTGCTTTAAAAAAAAAATATTTATTTTTGCCAGGCATGGTGTCGCATGCCTTTAATCCCAGCACTCAGGAGGCAGAGGGATGAGGATCTGAATTTTGAGGCTACCCTGGTCAACATAATGAGTTCCAGGACAACTAGGCTACATAGTGAGACTCTGTATTGAAAAAAAAAGTACATACTATATGTATTTATCTTATATTAATTAACTAATTAATTGATTAATTTTATGTGTATATTTGCTTACATGTGTGTCTAGTGTCCCTGGAGCTAGAGAAGGGCATCAGATCTCTTGGAACTAGAGCTAAAGCCAAATGTAAGCTGCCATGTAGGTGCTGGGACCCCAAACCCTTGTCTTCTGGAAGAGTCATATGTGTTTCCAACTGATAAACTATCATTCCAGCCCCTATTCTGTATTCTGGTGCTTAAAAAAAAAAGGCTTTCTTTTTGCAGCTAATTAAAACAGATATTAAAACAGAATGAGGGAGTGAAGAGATGGTTCAGCAGTTAAAAGCAGTTGCTCTTCCAGAGGACCCTGGTTCAGTTTCTAGCACCTATATGAAAGCTTACAACTGTCTATAACTCCAGTTCCAGAGGATATGATGCCCTCTTCTAGCCTTTGTGGGTACCAGACATGCAAGTGGTACACAGACATACAGGCAAAACTTCCATATATATAAAGCAAAATGTTTTTTTAAAAAAAAACCAAACAGAATAGGTTATGCTTTATTTTTTTTTTAAATTTGCAACTAGCTCCTGCAGTAGAATGTTATATAGGTATTAAAAAAATAGTAACAGTTAATGAAATTGTAAAACATTCCTAAATTAACTAAAAAGAAGATTATAAAATAATATCTCAACTTTGTCAAAAACAAACCAAACAAAAACCTGGAAAGAAAATTAAAAGAGTAGTTTGCTGGTTATGACAGTGCACTCCACCTTTAATCCCAACACTCAGAAGGTAGAGGCAGAAAGATCTCTGTGAGTTCAAGGCCATCATGGTCTACACAGAGAAATCCAGGATAGCCAGAACTACACAGAGAGACCCTGGCTATCTATCTGTCTGTCTTTTTTTGAGAGCCTGTTTCAAAACAAACAAACAATATAATAGTTATTATTTGTAGAATTTTTAAAACATCATTCATTCATCTGTTGTTGGGGGCATGCACAGCAAGGTACATATGGGGCTCAGATAACAACCTTTTGTGACTCAGTATCCTCCTTCTACCATTTGGGTCCTAGTATCAAAACAAGGTCATCAGGCTTGATGACAAGTGCCTTTACCCTCGGAGCCATTTCTCTAGCCTCAGGTCAAAATTTGAAGAGCATATTTTTTTTTTTTTTTTTTTTTTTTTTTTCGAAACAGGGTCCCAAACTTACTACATAGTCAAGTATGACCTTGAACTTCTGGTTCTCTTGCTTCCACCTCAGAGTGCTTGGGCTATAGAGATGCACCACCACACAAAAGTCATGTGGTACTGGAGTCCAACCTAGAGTTTTACTCATACTAGACAAGTACTATACCAACTAAGCTATATCCCCAGACCCCTGACTATGTAATTTTTATTTTTAGTATTAATATTAAATTTTTCAGTAAGTCTTAATCTTATCTTCCAAAACAAAAGCCAGCATGTTCTTTGGCCTTTATTTCCCTGCTTGGGAACTCTTTAGGACAGCAAAACATGAATTCAACTCAGTCCGTCACCATTCTGGAAGAAGGCCTTTTGTCTTTTTGGAGTGATCCTCCTACCCTTAAATGGCTGAGCCATCTCTATAGTCCTGTAGAAACCTTCTAAAAGAACAGATTGTTCTATTTAAAACATTTTAATAAGGCCCTCAAAAATCAGCCTGCAGTGCTGGTGCAAACCTTTAATCCCAGCACTCGGAAGGCAGAGGCAGGAGCATCTCTATAAATTTGAGGTCAGTCTGGTCTACAAAGTTCCAGGACAGCCAAGGTTAGACAGAGAAACCCAATATTTTCATGATTATCATAAAAGTAGAATATAAAAAATTCTTGGGAGCTAAGAGAGATTGCTCAGAGGTTAAGAGCACTTGCTGCTTGGTTGAGTTCCTAGTAGCTATCTATGTAAGTTGGTCACTCTAGTTCCAGGAGATCCAATATCTTTCCTCTTGTCTCTGTGGGCAATTGCACATACATAATGCACAGAAACTCATATAGGGATACATGCATATACATTAAAATAAATCTATTTTAAAATTTGCCAAGAACTAGGCGTGGTGGTGCACACCTTAAATCCTAAGACTCAGGAGGCAGAGGGTGGTCCAGAGGTCTACACAGTAGCTACCCAAGACAGCCAGGGCAATGTAGAAAGAGCCTATCTATATAAAACAAAACAAAACAAATAAACCCAAAAACAATAAAAACTCAATAAATAAACAATAACTGTAAATAAATAAAATATAAAAAGTTGACAGGCCCACATCTTTAATCCAACCATTCAGGTGACAGAACTCTGGGAATTTGAGGCCAGCCTGGTCTACACAGAAGGTTATAGGCTAATCAGAGTAACTTATAAAACCTTGTATAAAAAAAAAAGGGGGGAGTGGGGGAGCTGGAGTGATGGTTCAGTGGGTAAAAGCACTGGCTGTTCTTCTAAAGGTCCTGAGTTCAATTCCCAGCAACAACATGGTGGCTCACAACCATCTTTAGTGAGATCTGGTGACCTCTCTTGGCCTGCAGGCAGAATGCTGTATAAAATAAATAAATCTTAAACAAAAAAGAGGAGTGGGGAGAAATTTATTAAATACTTACGCCAGTGTCATGTTGTTGCTAGGATCAAGACCAACTTCTATAACAGTGGTACCTTCAATGTCCACTTCTTTGCAGGGAGTTGTATTTCGCCCAGTTACTCTACAGGCCTGATAGAATCCATGTGGTTTTACTCGACCAGAATCATTGCCCACAAATACCTGCAACACTACTGGTTCATTATGACCTTCCAGCTGTAAACAGATAACATGCACCATAAACACTAGTTAGCATTTCAAATAAACTCATTATGAACTAAACATTCAAAATCTAATCCTATATTTAAAACTGGATGGAGAAATAATTTAAACATAAAGGAAAACAGGTAAAATTTTCCTTTTCCTTCCTTCCTTTTTTGTGCATTGAAGACTGACCCTAGGTGCTCACAAATGCTAGGCTAGTACTCTACCCAAGCCACACACGCAGTTCAAATACTTTCTGATAAAGAAAAACTGGAGTCAGGTGTGGTGGCATACACCTTTAATTACAGCAGAGGCAGGTGAATCTCTGTGAGTTCCAGGGCTATATAGAGTTCTGTCTCAAACAAAAACAAACAAAAACATACAAAATGAAAAAGAAGGAGAGGGGGTTGGGGAACACTGAAGACATGGCTCAATTAAAGGCCAGGCTCACAACAAAAATTAAAGAAAAACTGGTTCTTTACAGAAAACTACTGTATTAGTTCTACAATAACTACATTTTAATTAATTTATATGTACTAACACTAAACTGTTATATAACCTATTTGCATAAGATGGGAATAGATACACAACTGCCCAGAGAGAATATAGATTACTCAGGATCTGCTACTACCAGTGGATTGTGTTAATGGCAACATCTTCATCATCAATGAGAATATATATGATAAATTTTACTACTTAAGCAGTTTGAGAGAAAAGTATGCAGTCATATAAATGATAGGAAAATGGAGTTCAAAGACTAGATCATTAAATCCTGGGCTAGCACATCATCTATGGTCAAAAGTGTTTGCTTAAAGTAAGATATGTGATCATTATAGACCTCTAACAAAACTCTCATAAATAAATGATAGTTCATATTTATAATAATATTTATAATAGAAAAATGTTTTTAATTTTGGTTCTTGTTATATCTTACAGTAAACACACTGAAGCTGTTGATAAATGATGCAAGAAAAAAATTACAAAAAAGTCACATCTTTTCTATCCCATTATATTAGCATATTTGTGCAAAGAGTATCATAATCAGGCAAATAATTAATGAAATAAGGAAGTGTATATCCATTGTGATCTCCTTCTACAAATGGATTATGTAATAGTTTAGCAGAGAACATGTAAAGTTCTAATGAAAATGTTGTTACTACAGAACTAGATAGCAGTACCTAGATTGGTCTCAGCACTTAAAAGGGACAAGTGTCTGTTGAGTGAATGAACAAATGAACTATTGAAGGCAGTCATTTCATTCCCTATCAGATTCAGGCAATTAATCAATAATATATTTAAATGTGTAAGTATTCAGACCAAGCACAACATAAAGGCAGGTAATCAGATTAAAAATACTGAATAAACTATGAAAATATCCAGCTAAATATACACAAAGACTGTTACTAGACTTGAGGGATTGGTTGCAAATGGATTAGTGTGGTAAGACAGGAACAAATGCTCAAAGACACACTTCAATCATGACTTCATTTAAGTATGAAATGAATGGCAGGCAGTTCATGTTTGTTTGTTTGTTTCTATTTTCAAACAATAATATTCTTTATAATAAAAGTACCAAGTGATAAAGTTTTATTTTAAGTCAGAGTTCTGAAAAGATAATTCTGATAATTTAAGAATCTTATTTTCCGTGCTGAGCAGTAGTGACACACACCTTTAATCCCAGTACTTGGGAGGCAGAGGCAGGTGACTCTCGGAGTTCGAGACCTGCCTAGTCTACAAGTAAGTTCCAGGACAGCCAGGGCAACACCAAGAAACCCTGTCTCAAAAAAACAACAGAAAAAAAAAAACCCCTTATTTCCATGTGTTATTTCCATTTGTTTTGAGACAAGTGCTCACCATGTAGTTCTAGCTGGCCTACAACTCTCTGTGCTCTCTATGAAGACTATAATTGGCTTCTAATTTATATTAGAGCTGTCTGTCTTTGCCTCCTAAATGCTTGCATTAAAAGCATGTGCCACCATGCCTAGTGAAGTTCTTAATAATTTCTACTATCTTTCTTTGCATTTACTTTAAAATTTCTTCTTAAATAAAACATTTTGGATGTATCTACTATCACTATTAAACAAAGGAGGAAGACAATTAATGACCTGCAGATATTTTTTTTCTTTTCAGAACATATTCTCATATCTCAAACTGAAATTTACCCAGGCATGCTGGCTCACATCTATTGTTCAAGCACTCAGGAAGCAGGAGGCTTGCCATGAATTCAAGGCTGATGTGGACTACATATTGAGTTCCTGGTTAGCATGAGTTAAAGCAAAACATATCTCAGAAAAACAAAATCAACCAGCTAAATAAACAATTCAAATGTTATCTAAGTATTACTTGGCTTATGGCCCAATTAGACATTTGTTTTCTATTATACTAAGCTAATAACTCTACTCTTCTATTTCAGGAAGCTTTTCCTGAGCTTAAAATAATTAGTAAAACTGAAAGAAATTCATCACATAGAAAGTATTATTTTTACATGTATTTGATGGTTATGCATGGGGAACATGTATGTGGGGCATGTGTATACCATGGTGTGGTTATGTGGAGGTCAGGATAATCAGGTAGAGTCAGTTCTCTTCTCCCACAACTGACCTACAAAGTCACCTCATGGGCCAGTCTTCATACATTACCTTCACTGTCGGAAAGCCTTGCTGTGTTCTATCTTTTACAGAGCCTCGGCTGCCCTCTGTTAGGTACCGGGCTCGGTGTTGGGTTTCAGGCTGTACCACTATCTTCAGCTCCTTCCCCTCACTTTTAACCGGATACTGTCCACACAACATAGGACTCTTCTTTACTCCAGTTCCCTTTTGGTTGTCTAATGTTCTGAGAATCCAAAGCACAACATGAAGGAAATATCAAAAACAGTTTTCTATAAAAGCTATCTTAGATAAAGGAAGAAACAGAAAGGCAGTAACACTGAAAACAACTGCTTAGCCTATGGATAAAAAAGAACACAGCCTAAAGGAGGAAGAAACATCCTTTATAACCAAAGTATCTTTAAAATATTTTTGAACCAAGTGTTAACTACATGCCATTTAAAAAAAAAAAAAAGCTGTACAGGAAAGAGAAAAATACAGTAGGGTGGCAGGAGAAAGACAGTGAAATAAGTATTGTTTCTTCACTGCAATTCAGTTAAAATATAATGTAAAAATTACACATATCACTCACATAAAACTAAAAGACTAATTATGATTACTTTTTAATCAGACTTGCAAAAACAAAAGAAAAAAAAAAGGAATTATCAAAAACTACCAAACCAGCACAAAAAAGAATTAGCTAAAACTACCTAAAAGATTCCACAATGAAGGTACACGTGGTATATTCTTTTGAAACGCTTTCTCAGTAAATCAAAATGAGAAATTTATAATAAAAAAATAAGTGATTAGATTTTTATTGGGAAATGATGTTTAGTAAATAATGAGTGTGATTTTTTCAGATTACTTTTATGTGTGACTGATTATCACCTGAGCTCTATAGTACTGGTAATTCTACTTGTTTTTTTTTTTTTTTTTTTTAAACTGTGGAAGTTTTGTTTTGCTGTTTCTTGGAGACAGGGTCTCGTATACCCCAAGCTGTCTTCAACCTGCTGTATAGCTGACGAGGGCCTTGAGGTGCAGATCCTCCAGTTGTCACACCTATTTGAGCACGTGCCTGTCTAAAACTGTGTTAATTTAAGCATTTCTTTGTTTATAATATAATATCCAAAATAGTGTTTAGGACTTCTATAAAGTAGCTAATGTAACGCAAATACCTTATGAAAATAAGCAGAATAACCCCGCCCCCAGTAACATGAAATAGATTTAAAATTATCCATGTATGTTCTTGAAAAGTCAGGGCCTATCATGCGTTTTTTTTTTACACAGCAAGGTAACCAGATTCCCAGAGGAATATTATGATTTTAAAAACAGAAGAACAGCTTTAAACCTGGCCTTAAATTTTACCAATCCAGTTGTGACCAAGCTGTTGCCTCAATCATCAGAACAAAGGGAAGGCAGTCTGTCACTTAGTTGAAATGACTCCCTAGGAAAGGAGTGTGGAGGAAAGGGCAACACTAATAACTGATGCAGGAATCCTGGGGACTGGCAGGGCAAGTGCATATGAAATATTTGCTGATGAAGCCAAACGGGAAGAAGGAGCAGAAAAGGAGAGCAGAGAGGAAAAGGAATTTTTATAATGGTAAGAAGGCAGGACCAGACCTTACTTGGACGAGAAATGCCATTCACATAAGTCTGACACAGTTAAGTCAGAGATAACCTGTACGTATAAGTCATGTTAGAGGTCCTAGAGGACTAAATCTATGAACAAAATATCAGGCTAAAGTGGAATAATGGGAAAATAACGTTTTTCTCTTTAACATTCTGAGTGAATTTAAATATTAGTATGAAGAATGTACAATTTCTTACACATGAAATTCTGTAATAATCTGTTTTGTATTCATCTTATTACTAAAGCAAAAAAAAAAAAAGGTGTATTTAAACTATGTAAAACTATCTCCCACATGTATATACACAGGAACTTAAAGAAATTATAGTGTAATGATAATAGCAATTTACATGAGTGACTAGATTATGGGTTATTTACTTACTTTCTTCTATTTTTCCAAATACTTAAAATTCGTATGTATTGATCATAATAAAAATGAAAAATCTGATACTGAAGCACTCACTAAGAAAACTTGAATGACATGACAACTTATTTCATCAGGTAAGCCGTTTATATTTATTTATACTAATCAAGCTAATATTTTGAGAGTAAATCAAAATGATTCTTGTAAAACAAAGTATCTTATTTGGAACAAATGTTTGTTGAATGAGTTGCTATATATATATGTGTATACATATATATATCATATATAATATATGCTAATATATATGCATACACACACACACACACACACACACACACACACACACACACGAAAGACCACAAGGAATCAATTAATTCCTAAAATACTGAAAATGTTCCTGCTGGGTTTTTTTGGGGGTGGGGGTGGGGGTGGGGAATTCTTACCACATAGCCCAAACTGGTCTTGAACTCACTACAGTACAGGCTGATCTCCCTCTCACAAATCCATAGCCTCAGCTTCCCAAGTGCTAGGCTTACATGAGTTTACCACCCACCACGCCTGGCTCTGAAACTATATTCTAAAAATCTCTTTATTCTCTAAGTTTAAATGTAAAAGTGGGGAAATGTATATTTATATCTACAGACTTATAAAACAATGAAATCATCAACTAATTCTTAGAAAAGTAGTAATTCAATTTATAAATTGTTAAGGTAAGACAGCTTCAGAAAAACAAGGCAATAGTTCATTACATGGGGATTAGTTGATTTATTTTTGCAGGGCTGGTATCAAAGCCAGGGCTTCCTCACGTTAGCGGAGTCTTACATCTAAATGACAACTACCGCAGACAATGTATTGTGGCATATTCTACTTAGAAGTCTTAGAATGACATTCACGTTCTTTTGTGCTAGATATTCCTCCAGGTTTTCTGTCAAAAAAGTAATTTTAACTACAAAAAGGCCTAAAATGACTTCCATGTTCATAGGATATCATATCTAAACGTCTAGAACTTTAAAAGAAATAGGGCTGCTGATTCCCAGGACATTAGTGAAAAATTTAAGACTGGTATGGTCAGCAATACTGACATACAAAGAGGCCTTAAAAAAGATGTTTCCTTAATAAGCCCTAACTTTTTAGTTGTAAAAATAATCATCTTTCCGTTCATCATCAGTTCTCAAAACTTCAGGCATCACGAAGATAAATGAATTGCTATATGCACCACATCGCAAGTTCATTTAATAAGTATTTAGCATTATATAAACTTCAAATTGTGTCACATCATATTGAAGACTAAAACTTATCTCTCAATACATTTCAAAATTTCATGTCTCTAACATCTTTCTCATTGTTTAAAAAAAAGGCAATTAGCTAAAACTGAAGGTTGTTTAAGAATGTTGGATGTCCATATAATTTACATTTGTTTTCATCTTTTCCTCAATATATCTTATAAATTCAAATTTTAAACTTCTTTATCATTTCCATATACTATTGTTAAATAATTTTTCATTACCTAAGAAGATGGACATTTCTTCTGCTGCTTGATGGGAGTTTCTGCTTCATGAATTATTTCATGAAAGTTTTGTCTTGACCAATGTCATTATACTTTCCCTGGTAACCTCAAACCATTTCTAAGATATATCTATCATACAAAAGCAGAAGTAGAAAAGATGTAGGTCAAGAAATCTCTTTAATCAGCAACAGTAAATCACTGTTTGACTATCCCCAAGTCAAAACTTTACTGTTCTTAACTGGAAACTTTAATTACTATTTCAGTACAAATAGGAAAGTGCCTTCCACTGTAACTTTCCACTGTATACAGACCCTTTCCACTGCAGCCCGAATAAGCCCACATATATTTACTGCCATGCACACACCTTTCCAATCTGTACTATCAGTTACACTTCTTTATGTGACTTGGAGTGTCCAGCACATTTCAGAGTCTTAATATTCATTTTATCTTTGAATACATACTCCTTTCTAGAGTTCCAGAGTGTTAAGCTGTGACATATTAGGAAAGGCGGTATCTTGTTTTCTTTTGGAAATTGCCTAATCTAGACTTTTTGAAACTGTAAAGCATTTAAATTATTTAACTATAGCATTCTAAAGGAGTTTTAATGAAAGTATAAAGAAAAAGAGTAGGCTAAGTTTTTTCAAATTCATTTTCAGGTTAGACTATAAGGACATGAGTTTCATTATATGGTTTTATACATTTGAATATAGACTTGCTAATTTTAAAATGTATACAGGAAACATTTAAGTACACATTTAATCTTTATCATGATAAATGGAATACTGAATTGGACTTTTTAATGTAACAAATCAAAGATGTCATCACAAAGTACACCAATCTAAGCTTTCAGACTATTTCTTTTGTGACAGGAGGAAACTGCAAATGATCCTGGGTCATCTAAGGAGTCACACTTAGTACCTCCTCAAAAACTAACTCTCAAAATCTCATGAGCTAAATTTTATTGAATATATTGTAGAAAATTTTACTTTCAGAAGTCTAGCAACTAAATATTACAATTAAAATACTAAAGGAATCCTAAGCCAGGCAGTGATGGTGCACACCTTTAATCCCAGAACTCGGGAGGCAGAGGTAGGTGATCTCTGAGTTCGAGAGGCCAGCCTGGTCTACAAAGCAAGTTCCAGGACAGCCAGGGCTATACAGAGAAACCCTATCTCAAAAATATCAAAAACCAAAACAACAACAAAAAGAAACTCAAAAGAAAAAAACCCAAAAAACAAAAAACAAAAAAAGCCCCACAAAACCCAAAAAACTAAAGGAATCCTAAAGTATACTGTATTAATCTACTTATAGCATAGAATAGTGCACCAATGGCACAGATGGACAGAAAGCGCAAATGTGCATCACAATCCTGTTTCTTTATCCTTCAGATAAGAAACAGAATCACAGGAGAAAAAAAATAATTTTTTTTAAAAAGTCCTAAACTGGCAGACTGTATCAAAGAAAAAAAAAAGTTTCAAGCACATGAACCTAAATGAAAATTGAGTCATCTCTTTTGTTTTCTCGTTTTCATCAAGTAAAGATGAAAAACAAAAATAAAATGTAAAACTCTCTGAAAAACCTAAGGGAAGGCCCATGAGACAAACTGCTAGAAGAACAAATTGGCCTCTGGAGAACATTTAAGGTGTTTTAGCTAGCATCAATTATACTGTTCCTTATTTTGGCAGGTAAAAATATTTTAAAATTTTTTTTAAAATATAAGTTCATTTGGAGTTTGAGTTATTTCAAAACAGATTATCTTTTCTACAATACCTAACCATACACATAATAAAATTCCTTTGAATAATCTACTGCTATTTTTATATTATTTTTCTAGTAAAATTTGATCATTTTAAATTAAAATTCTTATGTTCTTCAAGGATAAAATTAGCATTTTTTTGCTTTATATGCAAACTTGAGCTGAGAATTAAGAAAATTTGGGAATGATTTACTTTTTTTGTTTTGCATTATGGTGATAGAACTTTAAAAAATGTGGATACCAACCCATTTCCAGCTTTTGAGTTGCCTTTGTTGTCCGTGGTAAGCTGAGAAAGCACATAGTGAGGTGCTTTGGCACTGTCGGCATCAAATATATCCATATTAGATTCTTCACAATCTCGTCGTTTGACCCCCGGCCTCTGCTTTGGATTTCGTTTTCGTGATTTACGAGGTACCTCAGTGTTATCATTGTAGGAACTGGTGCTCATGTTACTGAAGTTGGAGGGGGAATCCTCCATCCACATACTGCAGCTCTGCTCAGATTCCAATCCACACCCCTCATCCTGGCAGGACATCCGACTGTTATCCAGCAAGTCCTCAGGTGGTGGTGAGATGTACAAAACTGTGTGCCTCTTCGGGGTTGATGGATGCTGCTGAACTGTGTTACCGGTTAACTGCTTTTCACTTACCCCTCTGTTACTTACCCCCACGGCTGAGGAGCAGCTCTCCACTTGCATAGCCTTGCTGTCGGTGACTGAGGTAGAATAAATGGTAGGGCTGGAAGAGGTGGTAAAGGAGCTGCAAGCACCGCCCATGGAGGAAGAGGAGGGAGCTGAAGAAGCATCTGCAGTGTATAATCCAAGAGTAAATACACTATACATGTTTTCACCTACGCTGGCTAGCAGTCCCAATGAAAATATGATTTGTGAACTGATTGTTTTCCCCAAAATGAATAATTGGAATTTGGTTAAGTTTTAGAATATAAATGCTTTAAGCAATACAAAGCCTAGAAATAGAATTTTTGAAAAAATGCCCAAATAGCATTATTTTACTTTTGTTATAATTGATAGATTTTTTTAAAAATCTAATTTAGTGTTTTAAGCTGTAAAGCAAGAATAAAGCTTTTATTGCCTCAGCTGAATGTTCTGTTGAATTTTAATCATTTAAAGTAATACAGAAAACCCCAATATGAAACATATGTTTGTGGTCCACATTCAATGCCAATTAAATAATTCATTATAGAATTTGAAAAGTGGGACTGTGCTTAGCCACAAAATATTAAAATAAGTTTCTAACCTATGAAGCAGAGAACTACAGGTCATTTTTAATGCAGACACTCCCTGCTTCAGAGGCAAATCCTGGAATAAAAATATGAGAAAATAAATGAGAAAAGAGCTGCTGATTATTCCAGATACCAATTATAAAATGAAAAATAGAGAAAAATATAGATAATCAACTGAACTGGAGGCAAAATGGAACTGGTACCATCACTAGAACTGATTGTAAAATTCACGAGAATAAAGGTAGGAAAGGCTTGGTGTGGATCAGGCTTGCTTACAGGTTGGCCAACTGAGAATCTCAAAAGTTGGAAATAGCAGATCAAATCAAGTAACCAAAAATCCATCCTTTATGAATGAGTAAAAAGCAAAACCAGGGTGGACTACTAGATAGACTTTTCCTATAAAGTTCTCATGTGCTCAAAAATTGGCTATCCCTGTCCATTACTCTTTTTAAAAGGCCTGCTTAATTTTCTAGTATGGTAGTGAATAGTAAATCTTACTGTCCAAAGCCTAACAAAAAATTAGGCATGAAATTTTCTAGAACATCAGAATTCCTATAAAAAATATTTTAAATTAAATCATTTATCAAGCAGAAAAAAAGCAGATTTAAGTAAATCGCTGTAGACTAGACTGTACAGCAAACTAGCAGTAGCAGTAGCTGAGAACACTGCTACTTTAGTCCTCAAATGCATCACCTCAGCCACACAACACTGTTTAGGCTGGAAGTTATCTGTAATTTCACAAATATTATTTTATCATGTTCAAGATATAATGTACACATACGTAAAAATTGGTAATGCTTAAATTTAATTTGTATCTTCAACCATTTACGCCACAGTTTTGAAACTGAACAATAGAATTTTAAATTATTGAGATCACAATATTCATTGTCAATTATAGAGCTAAAATGTAAGAAAGTCTGTGTTTGGATAATAAAAAGCTGTGCTATAAATTAACTGAACCCAACTGAAAGCATGTATCAAAACATGTAAATTACTTGAAATAACAAAAAATTCTCATTGTTGCCAAGGTTGAAGGGCACAGTCATGTTAGCCACCCATAATGTGATCTCTATAAAGCCACACTCTAAATTTTTCTCCTAACTACCATAAGTCAAAGAACCTGAAGGAGTAGATAATACCAGTTCCACTTATTAGTTTGTATCCTTGTCAAATGCAGTAGCTGAAATTAGAAAATTCAGTCATTTTAAAACTGCATTCCAATTTAAAGAAAAATTTATTAATTTGTATCATGCATTAATGCAATGCTTTCTTAGTAAATAAATATTTTTAAAGATCTGTAAAAACTACAAAGTCTAGACGCTAATGTCAATGACAGTTTAGGAGCTGATTTGTAGCCACTTTGGGTTTAAACATAGCTTTTTCTTTTTTTTCCTTTTCTTTCTTCTTTCTTTTCTTTTAAATACTACAATGATCATTTTGGACAAAATAGGAAAGATATATCTAATGTTCCTCCATCTGTTCCAACTACTGGCCAAAATGAAACTAAAATTTGTGCTTGTGTGTGTACATTCTTGATTTTCAGAGAAATACTAGTAGATAGCATGCATTATTTGCAGTGGATAACACAGAGCATGCAGAATGAATGCTGTGAACTTGTATTTCTATAAAGTACTTCCTCAACCCCTCCTTTCTGAGTCTAAGTACCATGCACACGAGAATACAGAATATGAGCCACTTCAGGGATCCCTCCCTGCCAATGACAGTGAAAAAGTATATGTGCAAAGCCATAATGAAGTCAAGAACAAATTATATAGTTATGGTAGTTGATATATATTTATTTTGTTTGATCCAGGGTTCTTAGCTTATATCTCCTAGCAACTTCCTAAGTTGAACACAGCAATAAGTATCTGTGGCTAAAATTTTGGTCTTCTGCTTCATAGTGATAAAGGTAAAGGACAGGTTTTGTTTATTTATTTATTGGACATGATCTTTCTTATTTTTTGGTTTTAATTTATAACAAGCATATTTCAACCACCTGAGACTATTAATAAGGTAATTTGGGGAAAGTTGTTAAATAACACAAGATGGGGGGAAGGGGCTGGTTGTCACAAGAATCAACCATATCCTCAAAGGGTTAGCGTGTACAGCTCCATCCTCTCACTTCCAAGGAGCAGAGAAGCTGGAGTTTAGGTTGATAAACAACAGCCAATGTTTTAATCAATCATATCTATATAATGAAGTCTCCTTAAAATTTTTTTCTATATAAAAATTCAAACAAACTTAATTCAAGTATCTAGGAAGGTGAACAAAAACACCACATGCCAATAAAGGGGCACAGTCAAACTCCCACTGGAGGCTGAGGCTTCTAGATCTTGTCCTGTGTGTTACCTCATTGGTCTATTCATTTCTATGCTTTAATATACTATTTATTATGAACCAGTAAGTGTTTTCTGAGTTCTGTGAGTTGCTGTACTAGTAAAATAATTGAACTTAAGGAGGGGATCATGGGAAGTTTAATTATAAGGAGTCAGATGAACACTGCATTCTTATTAAGTTAAACTGGCAAATAAATACGGTTAGAGATTTAAAAAGGATTTTAGTCTTTAAAATGTGAAATGCTTAGACTGTATAGCATTAGAGCAGCAGTACCTAATACAGGTAAATTACTGAGAGTTTAGAGATAATTACTTGCCCTTTTCCCGAGAGAATGCTACAAGTCTTTCCTAATACATACCAGTGTGTCTCTGTGTGGGAGTGTGTGTGTGTGTGTATGACAATTATCTATTTATATTAACCCTAAATTTACTATGAAAAGAATTTCTTAATATTACTTCATTAGAATATAGAAACACTATCAAGGACATTTTCGATTTCTAAGCAGTAACCTGTCAATTTCAAGCATTCCCAGAAAAGTAATACAGAATTATTTCTGGGAATACTATAAATATACTTAAGTTACTTTTAAAGATCTTTCTGATCAAATCATATAATCACTCCAAAATAAAACACCAAAAAACAAATACCCCCCTCCCAAGAAACACCTTAATTGGCATTCTATTGAACTTAAGTGATAATAAATCCTGTGTGTGTGTGTGTGTGTGTGTGTGTGTGTGTGTGTGTGTGTACTGGGGGGGGGTTTGGGGGTGTGTGATGTGTTTGAAGCAGGTACTATGTATCTCTGGCTGGCCTGGAACTCAGAGAGACCTGTCTGCTCTGCCTCTTCAGTGGTGGGAATAAAGGATGTTTCACTGCCCTCCCACTGGTTGGTTTTCTGAGGCGGAGTCTTGCCATGTAGTCCAGGTTGGTCTTGGATTCATAGCACTCTTCTTGCCACCTTCTCCTGAGTGCTGAGACTGCAGGTGTGTACGACCATCCTGGCCTTTGATATTCATTTTTATTTGTAAGATCATGTGAATGAAATATGGTACCTATTTCCCTAACCTGTTTTCAGTGCAAAGTCTCTATTTTTTGTTTTTTTGTTTTTTGTTTTTTTCGAGACAGGGTTTCTCTGTATAGCCCTGGCTGTCCTGGAACTCACTCTGTAGACCACGCTGGCCTCGAACTCGGAAATCCGCCTGCCTCTGCCTCCCAAGTGCTGGGATTAAAGGTGTGCGCCACCACCGCCCAGCTGCAAAGTCTCTATTTTTAATCTGTCAGGAATGTTCAATTTCTGTTTAACTGCTGCATATTAAAAATACAGAAATCCCCAAATAAAAGTGTTTTAAAAAGAATTATTTTTATTTTAAGTGTATGGGTGTTTTGGATGTATGAATGTCATTGTACTAGGTGCCTGAAGTGCCTAAAGAGAGCATTGTGTTATGTGAAACTGGAGTTACAGATTGTTTCAAGCCACTGTGTGAATGCCAGGAATCAAACTCTAGTTCCCTAGAAGAACACTCTGCTTTTGTTTCTTTATAGAGAAAAATAGTTATAAGGTATTTCCATGATTAACTGTATCATTTTATTTGTTCCTTGAGTCTCTTACTCATCTTTTATAATGGAAGTTTTTCTGAAAATTATTTTCTCATCTAAGTAGCATGTAAACACATTTTTATTTTCTTTTATAAAATAACTATTTGAATTTAGCTTAATTTATATATGCTAACTATTTCCTACAACACTTTCTGTGACCACAAAGAATATCTCAAATAGGAAAACTGATTTACCAATCCATAAATTACTACTGAAAACTTCTAACATCAGAAGACTATATTAATTTTAAAATATAAAAATGAAGGGAATCTGGATATAGCAGTATATGCCTTTAATCTCAAAACTTGGGAGGCAGAGGTAGAGGCAGAAGCAGGTTGATCTCTGTGAGTTCAAGGACAGCCAGGGCGATGTAGAATGACTTTCAAAAAACAAAAAACAAAGAACAAAACAAAACAAAAAAAAGGGGGGGAAACAACATCATGCCTATAATTCTATTCTTTGAAAATCAAATGCCAGCCAGTGAACTGGATATATGGCTTATTTTTCTTAAAGTTAAGATTTATTTTGCTATATTTATTTACCTATTTACTTATGTATGTGTTATGTGTATGCTCACATGCCACTGTGTACATGTATAGACCACATGACAAATGGTGTGAGTTGGTTCT